TGCATCAGGCCGGACACGCAGCATGAGACCTGGAAGAAAGTGGAGATCACTGGAGTAGCAGTGTCAACTTCAGTGATTTACAGCTTTTAGGGGCATATTGGCCAGGTATAGTATATGTAAATAGAAAGAATTATGCATTACTCTAGCACAGGGGTGGACTGACCATACGGGAACTTGGGCACTGCCCGAGGGCCCAGGGTCAGTAGGGGGCTCCATGAGATGCCCCTGGTACCTTTCATAGGCTTTTTTGGGTGTGGTTTGAGTGTGGGTGAGGACACAGGGGCCCCATAATCCCCTATTGCCCGGGGGCCCCATGAGTTGTTAGACCACCCCTGCTCTAGCATTAAGGGTAGATTGACGTACATTTATTTACAATTAACCCTAGGTTCAGGGGATACAAGGTGTCAGGGACTGCAGGTCTCGCCGCGGTGCACAGGTCTGTGCATGCGCAGATTGCCTAGGTGCACTAATGCGCAGGCACTAGGACCTGGGCGGCGGCGGCAATTGCGGCCACGCATGCGCACTCGCGCACGCGGGCGCGCGCGCCTGCCACCAGTGGCGGTGCAGGGCGCACTATTTAAACTGGCCAGGCGCAGATCAGGTCGCCACAAGGTCTAGTTCCTGTACCTGTGCTTCTGAAGTGTTCCTGTTGCCAATCCTGCTTGTCTTGATTTGTGTTGACCTTCTCCTGCTCTGACTCCTGGCTCGTCCCTGACTACTCTTCTGCCTGTTGTTATATTACTATTGGACCCCCCGTTGCTGAACCTTGGCTCGTGACCCGGCTGCTCTCTGTCTACTGCTTGGTACCTATCTGCCTCCACTGTTACCGACCCGGCTAGTCTGACTACGCTCATTCCTGACTGTCATCCATCCCGCTCAGGACCTGGACTTGTCAGCCTCTTCACATCAGGCTCACCCCCGGCACATACCCTCGGCGGGACCCCTCTACCATAGTTGGGTGCACTCAGGGGTCGCGACCTGGTTTCAGTCTTGCACCAAGTCTGTCCCCACCATCAGGGGCTCTGGTGAAAAGGCAGACTGGGACTTAGACTCCGCGATTTGGGGAATCCCGTTCTGCGGATCACTAGAGATCCCGCCGGGCGGTGTCTGACACAAGGGTAATTTCAGGTGTCAGGATAAACCTAATGTAACCCACACAGTTATTTTTCTTAAATATTTGCCTTTTTTCAAACATTTATTAATCTGCCATGTGGCATACAGGGTCCTATCATCGAATCAAGCAAGGAGTGGCCCTCAATGATGAAAGGAGTGTTACATATTGTACTATTGTCCTGTGCATGTAAGGTAATTTAATGACATGCCCGCAGGGTGCTGGTCCATGGCACCAAGAGGAAGTGAGTAAGGTGACACCAGACGTCATTCAACACAGAAGAAAACCAGTAATAGAGCGCAGGGGGACAAGACTTTGGGGGGGGGGGGGGGCGCCAGTGCTGGAAAAGAGGCGAGAATCACACACAGGGTTAACGGTTCAGGTGTTCATGTACGTAAAGAGGAGCTCAGGTCTCTGGTGAAAAAAATAGCAGCAAAAACTGTAGCTGCTGACTTTTAAAAAAACAGCCACTTACCTATCCTAAGATACATCAGTGTCCTCACCGCAGACGTGTTCACAAGCCATTCCACCAGCATCTTAAGTGTGGGCTGTGTCAGGCACGTGCCCACTGCGCATGCACGAGCAGCGCTGCGCATTGTGAATGGTCCGGCAGATTTTATGTCCATCATTTACACTTTCAAAATAACAGAAAACAAAAAAATGGCGTCTGCAAAAGTTTGGGCACCCTGCAGAATTTATAGCATGCACTGCCCCCTTTGCAAAGCTGAGACCCTGCCAGTGTCATGGATTGTTCTCAATCATCGTCTGGGAAGACCACGTTATGTCAATCTCAAAGGTTTTAAATGCCCAGACTCATCTGACCTTGCCCCAACAATCAGCACCATGGGTTCTTCTAAGCAGTTGTCTAGAAAACTGAAACTGAAAATAGTTGACGCTCACAAAGCTAGAGAAGGCTATAAGAAAATAGCAAAGCGTTTTCAGATGTCAATATCCTCTGTTCGGAATGTAATTAAGAAATGGCAGTCATCAGGAACAGTGGAAGTTAAAGCAAGATCAAGAAGACCAAGAAAAATATCAGACAGAACAGCTCACAGGATTGTGAGAAAAACAATTCAAAGCCCACGTTTGACTGCACGATCCCTCCAGAAAGATCTGGCAGACACTGGAGTTGTGGTACACTATTCCACTATAAAGAGATACTTGTACAAATATGGTCTTCATGGAAGAGTCATCAGAAGAAAACCTCTTCTACGTCCTCACCACAAAAATCATCGTTTGAACTTTGCAAATGAACATATAGACAAGCCTGATGCATTTTGGAAACAAGTTCTGTGGACCGATGAGGTTAAAATTGAACTTTTTGGCCGGAATGAGCAAAGGTACGTTTGGAGAAGAAGGGGCACAGAATTTAATGAAAAGAACCTCTGTCCAACTGTTAAGCATGGGATTGGATCAATCATGCTTTGGGGTTGTGTTGCAGCCAGTGGCACAGGGAACATCTCACGAGTAGAAGGAAAAATGGATTCAATAAAATTTCAGCAAATTTTGGATGGTAACTTGATGCCATCTGTGAAAAAGCTGAAGTTAAAGAGAGGATGGCTTCTACAAATTGATAATGATCCTAAACACACCTCGAAATCCACGGGGGATTACATCAAGAGGCGTAAACTGAAGGTTTTGCCATGGCCTTCACAATCTCCTGACCTCAACATAATTGAAAATCTATGGACAGACCTTAAAAGAGCAGTGCGTGACAGACAGCCCAGAAATGGCAAAGAACTGGAAGACCTTTGTAAGGAAGAATGGGCAAAGATACCTCAAACAAGAATTGAAAGACTCTTGGCTGGCTACAAAAAGCGTTTACAAGCTGTGATACTTGCCAAAGGGGGCAGTACAAGATATTAACTCTGCAGGGTGCCCAAACTTTTGCAGACGCCATTTTTTTGTTTTCTGTTATTTTGAAAGCGTAAATGATGGAAATAAAATCTAACTTTTGTTGACATATTATAAAGAATGTCTAATCTGTAATTTGATGCCTTTTGGAGATTCTTCCATCTTTCCTTGGCTTCTTTATGCACATTAATACAAATTTTTAGCTGGGGTGCCCAAACTTTCGATCCCCACTGTATATATATACATAGGGGGGATTTACTGAAACTTGAGCACTTAGAATCTGGTGCACTTGTGTATAGTAGCCAATCAGCTTCTAGCTCCAGCTTATTCAGTTGGGCTTTGACAATAAAACCTGGAAGCTGATTGGTTTCTGTGCAGAGCTGCACCAGATTTTTCATTCTCCAGTTTTAGTAAATCCCCCCCAAACAGTTTTATGGGAATCCATAAAATACAATTTATAAACAGTGACTCATTCAGATTAATTCAGATTGGGAAATATTAATTTCATATGTGGGCAAAATAAAACTGCCACATAGTGTGATACCATAAAAACAATCATTTATTGCCATAGAAAACCCCCCTTAAAAAACTCACATTGTGTAACATGGTAATGCACATTGTATATATACTTCCAATAAAATGGCCGCCGACCACAGCAGCTAGTGACAGTCTCACCGGTGCGCAGTGAGACTGTCACTAGCTGCTGTGGTCGGTGGCCATTTTATTGGAAGTATATATACAATGTGCATTACCATGTTACTCAATGTGAGTGCTTTTCTTAACCACGTCCCGTCCGGCCGTTGTATATAAACGGCCGGACGGTGGCAGTGCAGGGTCGGGTGGCCGTTTATAAACAGCCTCCCCGCACCCTGCTTGTACGCGCTCCCCGGGACACAGTGGAACACCGATCGTCGCACAGGACCTCTGTACGAGGTCCCGATCATGTGATCACTGAGTGGCCAATCAGTGATCACATGCAGAGTAGTAAGAAAGACGTCACTTCTGACATCATTACTTACTACGTGTGAAATCTGTGAATGATCACATAGGTCACATGGTACAAGGCTATTCACAACAGCCTTGTACCATGTGACAAGCTGTGACCAATCACAGCTCAAACAGTAGTTCTCAATAGCTGCAAGAATGCAGCCAGAGAGATTGCTTTTACAGCCTTTATGGGTGTAAAAGCAATCAGTGTAAAAAAAAATAAAAATCTTCATCACCCCCCACAAGTAGTACAGTGTCACCATGGTGACACTGTATTGCTAGGGTGACAGTATGTAAAAAAAAAAAAAAACCCATCAATAATAATATACAAAAATAAAATGTTAAAAATTTTTTAAAAATTATAATTTTTGGTTATAAACTAATTTGGGTTATTTTTTTTTACTAAAAAGATAACAGAATAAATTTTGGCCAATATTTATGATGAAATACTATTTATTTGCAAAATTTTATAAGAAAAAAACACTTTTTTTCACTTTTTTGGACATTTTCATTTACATAGCAAAAAAAATAAAAATCCCAGTGGTGAATAAATACCACCAAAATAAAGCTTTATCTGTCTTAAAAAAATGCTAAAAAATTCATATGGGTACAGTGTTGCATGACTGCGCAATTGTCATTCAAAGTGTAATAGCGCTGAAAATTGGCCTGGACAGGAAGGGGCTAAAAGTGTCCGGACTGGAAGTGGTTAGGGGGGTTTTCTATGGCAATAAATGATTGTTTTTACGGTATCACGCTATGTGGCTGTTTTATTTTGCCCACATATGGAATTGATATTTTCCAATCTGAATGAGGAGGAGATCGGAGTATGAGATACTAATCTATTCATTGGAGGTCCTTTTGGGTTGCTGGCTGATTATCAAATTTGAGATTTCACAAAAATTCATTATTAAAGGAGATTGATTGAATTCCTATTAATTTTCCACTGCTGGTTACTCACCAGCTTCTGGTGAGTGTTGAATCCAATGGGGTGTTAATCACTGCAAGATCACATGGATGGTGGATCACTTTATCTTAAAAAGACACTTACCATTGGAATGAATTGAACTTTTTCACATTATAATTTTATTTTATTTTATTATTATTTTTTTTTTGGTGGAATTTTTTTTTTTTTTCTTTTATCCTTTTATACCAATTGGACATTGTGTTTTGACATAGCGCTGTTTATGTGTACTTTTTTTAGTCACTATTTATAGATTTTTTTGTTATTTAAAACGGCAACTTGGTTTAAATATTTAATTGAGCCCAGCAATGAATGACTTCAGGATCCAGTCTGTTCTCATCACAGGATCCAGCAGGGGACTAGGACTAGAATTTTTGCAGCAATTCCTGAAGAGCCCAGATCCCCCACAGAAGATCTTTGCTGCTTGCCGGAATCCAGACGGACCACAAAGCCAGGTAGATCCCACTGAGCGCAGACGTTCTGCAAACACTCTATGGTTTAAACAACGCAGCGAGTACTGTCTGTGATACTTTTTTTATTTGCACTAACTGTTAAAGGATAACCTTTCAAGGGTCTTTGTGTATCAGTACTACCAGGAATCCCCCCCCCCCCCCCCCCCCCGAAAGCTTGTCCTGAAAATTTAACATGGATGGCATTGTCTACCGTCCTCTGAAAAGAGATCTGTAGTGGATTGCTTCTTAGAGCAATGGCTGCCAGGCATTCAAAAGGCGATCTTGCCACCTCCCTGAATATCTATCTATTTTTTTGGGGGGGGATTTTTTTCATAATCCCAAGGGGGCTTTTTGTATTGGTATACAGTGTTGCAACCAGGGGCGGACTGACCATTTGGAAACTCGGGCACTACCCGAGGGCCCGGGGTCAGTAGGGGGCCCCATGAGATGCCCCTGGTACCTTTTTCATAGGCTTTTTTGAGTTTGGGCAAGGACACAGGGGCCCCATGATCCCCTATTGCCTGGGGGCCCCATGAGTTGTCAGTCCGCCCCTGGTTGCAACTGTAAGCCTAGTATTTTGTTTGCAAATGCAACAACATTCCATTGACATTAATGGGTGTGCTTGACAGGTGGTGCATCCAAGGCATGTGTACAGCTCCGTATTATTATTATTATACAGTATTTATAAAGCGCCAATAGTTCGCTTAGCGCTGTACATTACAAAGGGGGACAGAACATGTATGCTGCAATGATAAAATTTAGGTGGGTGGTCTAAGGGGCAGCAAAACCGCAGCTTAACCACCTGTTTTACCGCCCCCAGCTGTCCATGCAGTCCTAACGCAAATATTTTTTTTCTTTTTACTCAGCTGTGCTGTTGCTATTGCATTAATACAGCTACAATCACCTAAGCAAACATTTTTGCAACAAAGTGCAAAGTGCTGACAAATGAACAAACTCTGTCTTTCATTAATGTTTTAAATCAAAGATAAATCTACTTTTGTTTATCTCGTTGTCCCCAAACGTAACACATATACTGGTCATACCCCAGTAGGGTGCAATTGTCACCCTAGGGGAGGAAGTATGTTAATGGCAGGATTACCAGATTCAAATAAAGAAGATGTATGTACTGGAAGGGCGATATTTTTGCTTGTGGAGGGAAGACGTGAGTTAGCAACTCCTGATCTCTGCACTGTATGTTGTATACTGTTCACCTCTGCACTGTGCATTACATATTACTGACCCCTTCACTGTGTGTTACTTCTTACCTCTGTACTGTTTGTTATACATACCTGACCTCTGCACTGTGTTATGTACTATTGACTTAATGCACTCGGTGTTACTTACTCCTGACCCCTGCACTGTGCATTACATATTACTGACCCCTGCACTGTGCATTACATATTACTGACCCCTGCACTGTGCATTACTTACTACTGACCCCTGTACTGTGCATTACTTACTACTGACCCCTGCACTGTGTGTTACTTCTTACCTCTGTACTGTTTGTTATACATAACTGACCTCTGCAATGTGTTATGTACTATTGACTTAATGCACTCTGTGTTACTCCTGGCCCCTACACTGTGCATTACATATTACTGACCCCTGCACTGTGCATTACATATTACTGACCCCTGTACTGTGCATTACATACTACTGACCCCTGCACTCTGTAATATTCCTGAGCTCTGCACTCTGCATTACTTACTCCTGACCTCTGCATTACATGCTACTTACCTCTGAGTTCTGTGTTACTTACTACTGACCCTTGCACTGTGCATTACATATTACTGACCCCTGCACTCTATGATATTCCTGAGCTCTGCACTCTGCATTACTTACCTCTGAGCCAAAACCCCCTCCCCCTCACGGAGAGACTCGGACGTTGACCGATACCCCCTCCCCCACGAAGGGAGGCTGACATTGACCAACAACACCCCAGTCACCCACCCCCACCCGAGAGAGCCTTCCACTACTACTGCCCCCCATGCACTGACAACCCCCCCTCTCCCGGCGCAAGAGCTGACCTTCACAGCTCTGGGCATCCCCAGGAACAAAAGTCAGGCTCTGCATACACCTTCAAGTAACTCGCAGCCTCTCTCAGATCCCACCTGGTCCCCATACTGCTTGTGTCCCTTCTCCCATCCCTTCTTTCGGGAGACGGCGGTGCCCCCCTGAAAATTTCACCCTAGGCAAATGCCTTGTTTGCCTTGTGGTAAATACACCCCTGCTTGCAGCTGCAGGTGGGAAGGAGAGATGGGAAAGCACTGTGGGGGTGGGGGCACACAGGGGGCCCAGGCAGCAGGGGGTAAAATGTATGGTGCACAGTGGAGGGGGGGGGGGGGGGAATTATTGGAACCGATCTCCTGTATGGCTCTCTGCAGCAGCTGAAAGCCAGCAGGAAGTGGAGGGGAAGAAGCAAGCTTTCAGCTGCTGCAGAGAGAGCAATACAGGGGATTGGTTCCAGTAATTGCCCCGCTCTGCTGATCACCCTCCCTGCCCGCATCTAATTCACCCCCCTGCTGGCCTGGGTCCCTTACAGAAGGACTGGTGTTACCCCCTTATCCACGGTCCTGAGCAGGCCTGGCCACTGTCACTTAGCAGGCAGGGGGGTTTACTAAAAATATGCAAAGAGCAACCTTTAGAAGTCAATATTTGCACATTTTGCTTGGCAAGTCTCCCAATGGCACTAGGGTAATACAAGTTGGGATGAAAAGATACTTCAGTCGACTATCAACTAGCACTGTTTATGACCACAGCTGTCCCTTTACAAACCCCCTACTCAATTCTATTCCAAACCAATAGCCAAAATGCCATACAATCAGAATTGGTAGCTGTCTGAAAAAGGAGCCAGAACTCTATATACCGTATATACCATGCTTATTGTCTTTTTCCAGGGCTGTCCCGGATTTTGCACAATGTTGTATCAAGAGTATTTGTATGTGCAGTATTATCAGATGATTGCATTTATGTTTCCTTCTCTAGGCACTCAAGACCTTGTCTGAAAAACACCAAAATGTCATAGTTGTTCAAATGGGTGAGCTTTATTATATCATTTTGTGGTCTCCGAAGGCTAAGCCAAATTGCTGGGTTTTGTGGTTATATCTAATATACAACTCCTATGTATTTAGTTATTATTATTATACAGGATTTATATAGCGCCAACAGTTTTCTCAGCGCTTTAGAATATGACGGGAGACAATACAGCAACAATACATTTCAATACAAGAGGGTTAGGAGGGCCCTGCTCCCTGGAGCTTACAATCTAAGATATAACGTTTTGTTTAATTGTATGTTGTTTTGATTCATTTTGCTAGTTTTTTAACTCCTTTGCCAGCCAGTCTTATTAGTACAGTGTCACTGTGTATATTTTTAGCACTGATCACTGTATTGCGCCCACAAAGTGTCAGTGTCAGTCTGTCCACCGCAATTTTGCAGTCCTCCTAGAAGTCGCTGATGGCCATCATTACTTGTATAAATTTTTTTTTAAAAATTCCAGTATACACACTGCCATTTATAGACCTCAAAACTTTTGCGCAAACCAATCAATATAAGCTTATTGCGTTTTTTTTTCTACCAAAAATATGTAGCAGAATACATTTTGGCCTAAATTTATGAAGAAATTTGATTTTTTTAAAAAAAATTTATTGGATATGTTTTATGGCAGATAATAAAAAATATATATATTTTTTTTTTTTAAAGTTGGTATTATTTCATTTATAGAGCAAACATTAAAAAGCCCAGATGTGATCAAATACCACTAAAAGAAAGCTCTATTTGTGGGAAAAAATGCTTACCGCGCAATTGTCAGTTAAAGTAATGCAGCGCCGTATCACAAAAAATAGCCTGGTCAGGAAGGGGGTAAATCCTCTGGAGGCCAAGTGGTTAAGATTTAATTAATTTCAATGACCAGATTAAATTATTATTCTGGCCAATTAAATGAATTAACACCCAAGTGCTTGACACTTGTAAACGAGCCTAAACGCTTGTAAAAGCATTAGACACTTTTCCAAATGTCAGGCATTTTTTCTGCCTAAACGCTGCTGCTAAGAGGAAGAGTGTTTTTAAAATGTCCTGTGTGAATGAGGCCTAAAGATCTATGTGTGCATGGACACATCTGATAATATGGAGGGGTGTTTGGAAGCTGTAAAAAAAAAATGCCTGATGTGTCTAAAAGTGGCTGCAAAAATGCCCTGTGTGCATGAGACCTAAGCTACAGATCTGGAGGAAGTGTCAATGGACTACACGTGTGGTCACATCACCAAACTTGTACTCTGTTGAGAACTACAATCCCTCTGCTGCGTTTTATTCACAATTCCTGTGAAGAGATTCTCTGCAGGTGAAGCCACACACAGCCACACCGAATTTAAATTTGACAAGATCCAACAGTGAGAGGTCTCTGTTTAGCCCAATAGCTGCTGAGACTTGTTGGAGCTCCAATTACTGACTGCAATTGGTATATAGGAAAATGTATACATTTTTAAAAAAATCATGATTGACAATGGAACAATGCAGGGAAGGGCAGCAGCATGGGGAAGCTCATGGAATGTGGCCACAACCCAAACAAATGTTTCTGTAGTAACCTTCCAAATATTTATTATTGTATTTGGTTGAAACAAGCAGATTCATGTGCCCCTGGTGAATCAGGAGGCTCATCTTTATAGCAGATTTTGGTTTTGCATGTATGAAATGTTGCATTGCTTAGATTTTTCTATGAGTGAAGTGTTTGGCCATTCTTCATTCATGTTCTTAGTATGAAAGTGCCTTCAGCTTTCATATTTAGGAGCAATTACATTTTATGAGTTACAAGCAGGGGCGGACTGACCATTTGGAAACCCGGGCACTGGGGCCACATGATCCCATTTGCCCGGGGGCCCCATGAGTTGTCAGTCCACCCCTGGTTACAAGTGTTCAATTTTACCTCCTATACCTTTCTGCTGCTCTGTAGATGTCACTGATCCTTCAAGTGTTAACACATCTGTAAAAGAAGTGGAGAAACATCTAAATGGACAACGTCTGGACCTGCTTCTCAACAATGCTGGAGTTCTGACTCAAAACAGCTTGGAGACCCAGACTTCTGAGGATATGATGAATGTCTATAACATCAATGTAGTGGGACCAATGTTGGTGACCCAGGTAGAGTTTAACCCCTTCACGCCTAAGGGTAAAACAAATCGTAAAGCCGAAGTAAACTTTTACAACTTTGACATGTTAGTAAAACCGTACATATTATCAAAACTACTTGGTACATCCAGGTGGATTATACTTTGTTTATTTCAGGACAAATTTGACTTTCATTTGGTGGTAAATGGTAATGGATATCTCCTAATTTTTTTTTTTTTGTTATTATTAAAGGAAAATTGGCCCAAAATAGTACAAAAAATAATTTTTTTAAAATTTAGCTGCGTGTTTCTTGTTACTACCATAACCTACCACCAAAGAACAACCCAAAATAAATTTTCCAGCTCTTGATGATCGCAGTGATACCATATATGTGTATGTTATTTGATGTTTGTACCTGTACTACAGCTCAGAAACAATAGTGCGCATTTTGTTTTCCGTTTTTTTTTTTTTTTACCTAACATACTGACACTAATACCAATTATTTAAAAATAAAATAAAACCCTGACCTTGACCCAAACACTAACCCTGGCATTGAACTAGATCAAACCTTGATCTAGGTATTTTTTTCTTTATTTTATTTTTTAATATTTATTTATCTTTTTTTTTTTTTTTTTTTTTTTTTTTTTTACAGTGTTTTTTTTTTTTTTTTCTCTCTAAGCAAGGAGAGAGAGATACAACGTATCTCTTTCCTCCATTCAGAGAAGGAAAAAAAAAAAACAAGGGGGGCGGGCTTCACAGTGATGATCACTGTGATAGCCAATCAGAGGCTATCACAGCGATCATGTGACCCAGAATCGGGCGTCCTGGGTCCCGATCGTTAGACCGGGGCTCTCAGTGATACCACGCTCTTTGTGCTGGGAATGCACTGTGTGACGTGTTCCCAGCACAAAGACAGGTACGCAAATATGCGGCCCCATGGAAAAAAGCCCAGTTCTGTGAGGCCGCATATTTGTGTGACATGTCCCTGCTTTGTTCCTCTGAGCATGAATCACTTCTTACAAGTTTTTTCCTAACACCAAGAGAAAAATGGTGACAGGGCGGGACCTCCAGCAAATTGACAGTCAGCTCTGTTCCTGTGAGCTGTGTGAATGGGGTGTGTCCCTTCCCTCCAATCAGCTCTTAGAGCTCTCCTCACTGAGCTCTGCAGAATGTAACTTCAGCTCCTCCGCCCCCTTTTTTCTGAACTCTCAGATATCCTTTATAAATTCAGCACTTTAAACGGATGTTAAAAAAGAGAAGACTGCAGGTAACAGATACAACCTATGTAGGAGGATTTATTTCATCTCTGGGTATCACCTTAGGCTAATCCCTTTACAGGATATATGTAAGGGATTACAACCACTTTAAGGAACTATTTATTTATTACAGGCATTTGTATAATGCTGCCACTTTACTTAGTGTTACTAAACCCACAACAGTAAAATCAATCTGTATATGCAGTAAAGCATGCTTGTTAAACACACTGTGGAACCTAAGTGGTTAATCCTCTGTAAGCACCTCCAACTGTAAGCACACTGCTTTGCATGGCTCTGCTATGCAGAGCCATGCAAAGCAGTGTGCAGGAGCTGACGGGAGAGAACTGTATTGTGTACATACAGTTCTCTCCCTCCATCGGTAATGCTTCGTGATCTCTGGGTGCTGGCGAGTGATTGCCAGCCGAGGCCACGAATAGCGGAGCAGGTAGGGTGTGCATGCCCCCTACCCCAACCATCTCATATCTTTGGGTAACTTTGTTGGCAAAACACCAGAGTTTGGTGGTTTTTCCCCAAGGAAAGCTCTTATTTGTTCTTTTAGGTGGACAGTTCTGGGAGGGAGACTCTTGTGACCTCAGATTCCTCAACACATTTCAGAAACTGCTGGGAAGACTTAAGCCTTCCATACATAGCTTGGATTTGGTAGTCACTGGACAGCTGTGGGTCTGAATAAAATAGCTGGAAGGGGAGATTCCTCCATTTATATAGCGCCAACAGTTTGCGCAGCGCTTTATAATATAAAGGGAGACAGTACAGTTATAATACAATAAAAAACAAGAGGATTAAGAGGACCCTGCTCATAAGAGCTTACAATCTAATAGGGTGGGGCAGCGGTACAAAAGGTTATAACTGTGGGGGAAGTGATAAATGTTTAATTGGAGGTTTGGCAGGCTTCCCTGAAGAGATGAGTTTTCAGGGGTCGCCTAAAGGCAGCCAGAGTAGGGGATAGCCGGCCAGATTAAGGTAGAGTGTTCCAGAGGATGGGAGAGCCTTTGGCAAAGTCCTGGAAATGAGCATGGGAGGAGGAGACAAAGGAGTTTGAGAGCAGGAGATCAAGAGAGGACTGTTTGGGTGATATTTGGAGACCAAATTGGTGATGTAGCTCAGGGCTGAGTTGTGAATAGATTCGTATGTTGTTGTTAGCATTTTGAATTTAATTCGCTGGACAATCGGAAGCCAGTGTAGGGATTGGCAGACAGGGGCAGCGAACACTGAGCGGTTGGTAAGGTAGAGTCTGGCAGCAGCATACATGATAGACTGAAGAGGGGATAGCCTACAGAGAGGTGGGCCTATGAGAAGGGAGTTGCAATAGTCAAGGCGAGAGGTAACAAGGGAGTGAATGAGTGGTTTGGTGGTTTCCTTAGTTAAATCAGGGCAAATTTTAGAGATGTTACTGAGGTGAAGTCTACAAGCTTTTGACATTGATTGGATTTTGGACCGGAAGGACAGGACAGAGTCCAGGATTACACCTGACATAAATGACACTTAGAAGAGATGTCACAGGCAACTACGCAATTTTATTATTTTATTTATTTATTACAGGTACTTCTATAGCACCATCAATTTACGCAGCCCTTTACATATATATTGTACATTCACATTGGTCCCTAACACTCAAGGGGCATACAATCTAAAGTCCCTAACTTACATTCATACATACACATACGAAGGACAATTTTAGACAGAAGCCAATTCACCTACCACCATGCCTTTGGAGTGTGGGAGGAAACCGGAGTACCCGGAGGAAACCCACGCAGGTGGTGCCGTGGCTGGGATACGAACCAGTGACCCTAGTACTGCCAGGCAGAAGTGCTAACCACTTGGCCACTGTGCAATTTTGACTTATTGTAAAACTTAACTACTATATAACTTGGGTTAAAGCTATTCTATTAATGACAGGGTTACAGAAATAATGATCAATTTTATATAAAAAGACCCTAATTTGATAGGTGTCATTTAAATGTATTTTTGCTCCTGTTCACTTGTGCAGGCATATCACCGACTGATGAAAAGAACAGAAGGCACGGGGAAGACAGCCATTGTCCACATCTCTGCATTGCTGGGATCTCTGGAAGATGTTCCTAATCTATTCACTCATTTTCCAGTTATTTCTTACCGCTGTAGTAAGGTAGGGTAGAGAAACCTATAGTTCTGATTAACTTTGATCAATAGCAATCAAATTTAATTTTTTAACAGTTTGCAGAAATCAGTACAATGAGCAACGCTGATTGGTTGTTATGAATAACTGCATTTTGCATAATTTACATCCTATTAAATAAAACATGTATTATCTGTTAGAACTGATAAATAATGGATCTAGAAGACAATATATTATTTGTTACATATGTAGCGCTACCCTCTTAAGAGCTGTTGAGTATTTTGGGTTCCCTGGAAGTACAACCCCTGCTGACACCACTGTGAAACCTTGACCAGGAGGACCCCCTGGTTTGAACCACAGAATAACACACAGTTTAAGGTGAACAAATATTCTGACTGTATTGAGGTGAGTGTTGAGAGAGTGCAAGCACTAAAGGAATGACAATAGATGCGCATACAAATTAAACACTCTACAAGGTTTAACAGAAAATAAAGCACAGTATTTCTTTAAATAAAACCAAGTGTCCTGCAGGATCAGAGTTTAAACATCAATTCCAGCTCTGAGATATCTCTCCCCAAGTGAGCTGAAGTGGACTATCAAGATGCTGGACTAACCCAATTTTGGGTTCTCAATAGCTGGGAACTGGGTTTAATTCCTGAAATGATTTTTTTATAAGCAATAATGTCTCCTTTAATATCTCATCAACAAATAGTGACAAATATTCTGCGCGCTTGATGGGGCCCTTGTTGGTGCACATCAAGGTTAAGATCTTTTTCTTTTTTTTGTGTAAGATCAAGATTTCCTTAGTATGGTACAGCAACAGAAAGATTCCCCTTGGAGTGGTGTTGAAAACTGGGTAAGGTCTCTTTAACAGATGAATACAAGAATTTCTTAAAGTTGAGGAAAGGGGTGAAAGCAAGCTTTAGCAGAGTTTGGACCTGCCCTTTTTTGAGGCTGACCCGATCAGAACCTCTATTTTCCTATATGGAATGGCAGGTGTAAACAGAAATGTGTCCGTTTACACCCGTCAACATTGAATCCAATCCACCAAAAAGAGATGGATGGGTATTCCCTTCCATTTGTCTGACGCACTGGATGGCAGTCGGATGGAAACAAACAGCCGGTCCATTTCCATCTGACTGCCCATAGAGGACAGTGGGTTGTGTCTGTATCTGCTCAATACTTGTCATCAGCAGAAAGATCCCCTGCTGAGCAAGCGGATCCTCTGAGGGGTCCACTAAAGATGGTGAACTAGTCTGGTTAAGCAAGTTCCTTTGGAGCTGAAGGGGGCTAGAAATGAGATATTAAGTGTAGCCCTGTCTGCATAGAACACGTGCTGTAGCAAGAGTCCTGCAGTTTCAGAAGATTAGGGAGACATTATAGCAGTAGGCCACAGTACTGAATGGGCTAGGCAGTCTGTGTCTCAATGCAATGAACTCTGATGTAAGGTGCACTGAACTGGAACAGTTGGAAATAACAGTGACTTGCAACTCGTGATGATCTGGGTTATGAAACCCTCTCACCTGGTCTGTAGTGTTTGCAGTGAGAATGGTGGTCTCTCTGTTGGGGGGCCCCCTGTTCTCTTGATCCCTCTGTCAAAGAAGCAATGCCAATGTCAGCACTATGATCCTCCTGCCTGTAGAATTGACTGTCCTGCAACACCAGCGGTCTGCAGTCCCTCTTTCTTCTCTGCGATGCGGCTCGATCCAGCCTCTATCACCATCTACTTCCTTCCTGGAAATTTCCCAGGCTTCTCAATATATATGCTCTCACCCCTTAAGGGTCAATCCCAAAATATAGAAAGTAGAAATTACTCTGTATAAAAAATGTTGACTTTTGTGTAAAAGTTAAAGCCTAAATTTAGTCAAAATTTAAAAAAAATATGAAAAAAAAAAAAGCATCAGGGACACGACTTACTATTAATTGGATGTGTCACTGGTGCTACTTGCTCCTGGATTAATCCCTGACCCAAGCTGCCAAACTCTTTCAGTGTGGTGGGGGTTTATGGAGCCAACGAACTTGTCACAGGCATTCATCAAATGTGGCTGACTATGCCCGCCCTTTCCACCCACCTCCTTCATTCATAGAAGTTGTACTATAGCTTCTATGAATAAAAAAAATACCTATAAATGGAGGGTGGGGGGGGGGGGGGGTGAAAATATTAATATTCTGAAATTAAAGCAGTGTATATATGTATAGTGTATTTTGGGGTTTTTTGTTCAACCAGTGGGTGAATGGGGAAAAAACCCTCATATCCACAAAAACTATGTGTAATATGTAAAGACTTATGTATTATGTCCCCGGTCTATATGTCTGTTGAAGCATGTTCAGTCTCCAACAACCCCAATAGCATGTCTCTGTCCATCTCCTGCAGCATGTCTGCAATCTCTGTCCATCTCCTGCAGCATGTCTGCAATCTCTGTCCATCTCCTGCAGCATGTCTGCAATCTCTGTCCATCTCCTGCAGCATGTCCGCAATCTCTATCCATCTCCTGCAGCATGTCCGCAATCTCTGTCCATCTCCTGCAGCATGTCTGCAATCTCTGTCCATCTCCTGCAGCATGTCTGCAATCTCTGTCCATCTCCTGCAGCATGTCTGCAATCTCTGTCCATCTCCTGCAGCATGTCTGCAATCTCTGTCCATCTCCTGCAGCATGTCTGCAATCTCTGTCCATCTCCTGCAGCATGTCTGCAATCTCTGTCCATCTCCTGCAGCATGTCTGCAAACACTGTCCATCTCCTGCAGCGTGTCTGCAATATCTGCTCATCTCTTGTATCATATCTGCAATATCTGCCCTTCTCTTGTATCGTGTCAGCATGTCTCCGCCCTTCTCTTGTATCGTGTCAGCAGTCTCCGCCCTTCTCTTGTATCGTGTCAGCAGTCTCCGCCCTTCTCTTGTATCGTGTCAGCAGTCTCCGCCCTTCTCTTGTATCGTGTCAGCATCTCCGCCCTTCTCTTGTATCGTGTCAGCAGTCTCCGCCCTTCTCTTGTATCGTGTCAGCAGTCTCCGCCCTTCTCTTGTATCGTGTCAGCAGTCTCCGCCCTTCTCTTGTATCGTGTCAGCAGTCTCCGCCCTTCTCTTGTATCGTGTCAGCAGTCTCCGCCCTTCTCTTGTATCGTGTCAGCAGTCTCCGCCCTTCTCTTGTATCGTGTCAGCAGTCTCCGCCCTTCTCTTGTATCGTGTCAGCAGTCTCCGCCCTTCTCTTGTATCGTGTCAGCAGTCTCCGCCCTTCTCTTGTATCCTGTCAGCAGTCTCCGCCCTTCTCTTGTATCGTGTCAGCAGTCTCTTCCCTTCTCTTGTATCGTGTCAGCAGTCTCCGCCCTTCTCTTGTATCGTGTCAGCAGTCTCCGCCCTTCTCTTGTATCGTGTCAGCAGTCTCTTCCCATCTCTTGTATCGTGTCCGCAGTCTCTTCCCATCTCTTGTATCCTGTCTGCAGTCTCTTCCCATCTCTTGTATGCTGTCTGCAATCTCTTCCCATCTCTTGTATGCTGTCTGCAATCTCTTCCCTTCTCTTATATCGTGTCTGCAATCTCTTCCCATCTCTTATATCATGCCCATATGTTTTGACGATATCCTGTTGTGTTTCTGCTGCCTCTTATAATGAATATTTACTGAATTTTATGTGTGGCCCTTTGGTGATGTCAGGGGCTGCACTTGAGGCCCCATATATCAAGAACATTGACCACCACTGGTCAATGACATCGCTGTCATTCCCAAGTCTGAACCACAGCTTCCATGTTTTTTTCAGCAGTGTTGGTGAAACTTGTCAGCTGGGTTATTCACAGAGAACTTCCAGGGTTGATTTACTAAAGGCAAATAGACTGTGCACTTTGCCAGTGCAATTGCTCCAGAGCTTAGTAAATGAGGTGAAGCTTCATTTTGCAAAGCAACCCAATGACATGCAAGGAAAAATTAAAAAAACAGGATTTTTGTTTGCACATGATTGGGATGGACGTCAGCAGAACTTCCCTTCATTTACTAAGCTCTAGAGCATGTGTGCTCAATCTGTGGCCCTCCAGCTGTTACTACAAGTCCCATCATGCTTGTAACCTTGTCAGCCTTGCAATGCCTCATGGGACTTGTAGTTCCACAACAGCTGGAGGGCCACAGGTTGAGCACCCATGCTCTACAGTAGATTAACTGCACTTACAGAGTGCAGAGTCTATTTGCCTTCAGTAAACTAACCCCATTTTCTTTTTGTTTAACTCAGTTATGCACCCCACCCAGGATCTGTAAGACCAGCTGAGCCAAGTTAGAATTCCCATCCATTTGCAGTGACTTGAGTTTGTCAGTAGCCAGGTACAGAAGGTGCTGCTAGAAAGCTTCAGAAAAAATCTAAACAAAATGTCAAAGCAGCTTATCTTTAGGTATGCTGAATAGAGTGGAATCATGCTTTATTGTTTTTTTGGGTATTTGGGATTGTATATAATTTTTTTCCCTTCTGTTGGTTGAACTGGATAGACTTGTGTCTTTTTTCAACCAGATTAACTATGTAACAGACTAAGGATGGCCATACATGGATCTACATTCAGCAGGGACTGGCCAAATCTCAAACTATGTATGGGCAGGCTGATTGTACAGACGTCAGTCTACTGATTGACTTCTGTGCAACTAGCCTGTGGTTTTTTTCCCCCCCGAATGATTAGTGCCACCGGCTATAGCAGGCAGCAGTGATCAGTGTATTCTGACTGTAGGAAAGTCTCCCTACTGTCAAACACAATAGCACAGCGGGTGTGATTCCCCCATCCACAGAAAGTGTGTGGATGGGGGAATTGTAGCAATTGTATGTACAAATATGGATGCAAACATCCATTTTGCCAAAGACCCTCCATCTTGTATCATTTCTCACTCAAATCAGCTCCCCCCTCCCTCTCTGTTGAGTGACACATGGTCCGTGTGTGCTGGGTTCAGGAGTGCACAGGACACAGTTGGATATCCTTCATGGTTGTAAACCCAATTAACTGAGGCCAGGGTGTCTGGCAACCTGTTGCTCTGAAGCTGATCGTAAAGCCATAAACCCGTCAGTCACTGGACTTCAAAAGCATTCCGGGATAGCCGTAAAACATATATCCCATGTGAACACACTTTTTCATACATATTCGCAATTTCTCGTAGGTAATACATACCATAAAGCAAAACATATATTCAGATTGGTCATTTTAATACAAGTCACCTGATACCTTACACCCCTAGACTACGTCTACGCGAGAGCAGAAAGTAATATCTCCTTAACCGTCACAGGCAGATATGTCATATGTGATATCTGGACATTCAGAATATCATTCTGCAGATTATCCTACCTGTGTATAGGATGCTAGACGTACCTAGGGAAGGTTATTGATCCCGGGTACAACTTGTGAGGGATTTTGGTTCTAGCTTGGGTCTCCGCCTAGACCCCCCCCCCCCTCTCCAAATAGGCGATTGGCCCTTGGCTTCAGAGACACCCCCTGCTGGAGGCCTACAAAATAGGTTGTCAGGCCTGAGAGAAAAAAGGTTGAAGAATCCTCCCTTTTTTTAACATCAGAACCAACTTTGGGAGAAAAGGCACCCTTTTGCTCTAACACTTGAACGCTGCTTAAACCAAGGCTGACGGCAAATATTCTACCTTTCCAAACTTCTTTCTGTTATCTCTTTGTTATGGTATTGCTTTCTGTATTTATATACAGTGAGGAACAGAAGTCTTTGAACACCCTGTGATTTGCAAGTTCTCCCACTGAGAAATCATGGAGGGGTCTGAAATTCACATTGTAGGTGCATTCCCACTCTGAGAGACAGAATAAAAAAAAAATTCAGGAAATCATATATATATATGTATGATTTTTAAAGAATTTATTTGTCTTGCACTGCTGAACATAAGTATTTGAACACCTGAGAAAATCAGTGTTAATATTTGGTACAGAAGCCTTTGTTTGCAATCAGAGGTCAAACGTTTCCTGTAGTTCTTGACCAGGTTTTTTGCACACACTGCAACAGGAATTTTGGCCCACTCCTCCACACAGATCTCCTCTAGATCTGTCAGGTTTCGGGGCTGTCGCTGAGCAAAAAGTTCTACTTTGGTCTCATCTGACCACATGACTTTCTCCCATGCCTCCTCTGGATCATCCAGATGGTCATTGGCAAATTTCAGATGGGCCTGGACATGTGATGACTTGAGCAGGGGAACCTCCCGTGCAATGCATGATTTGAAACCAAGACGGCATAGTGTTCTACCGACAGTGACCTTTGAAACTGTGGTCCTAGCTCTCTTCATGTCATTGACCAGCTCCTCCCTTGTAGTTTTATGCTGATTCCTCACCTTTCTTATCATCGGTGATACCCCATGAGGGAGAGGAGTCTTGCATGGAGCCCCAGTCCGAGGGAGACTGACAGTTGTCTTTAGCCTCTTCCATTTTCTAACAATTGTTCCAACAGTTGATCTATTTTCACCAAGCTGCTTGGCAATTGCCCCGTCACCCTTTCCTTTCCAGCCTTGTGGAGGTCCACAATTTTGTCTCTGGTGTCTTTTGACAGCTCTTTGGTCTTGCCCATGGTAGTAGTTGGCGTCTGACTGACTGTGGGGTGGACAGGTGTCTTTAAAGAGCTCAGACAGGTACTTCTAAGTTAAATTAATGAGTGGAGTAGAGGTGGACTTTTTAAAGGGACAGTAACAGGTCTTTGAGAGCCAGAATTCTTGCTGTTTTTCAGGTGTTCAAATACTTATGTTCAGCAGTGCAAGACAAATAAATTCTTTAAAAATCGTTCAATGTGAATTTCAGACCCCTCCATGATTTCTAAGTGGGAGAACTTGCAAAATCGCAGGGTGTTAAAATACTTCTGTTCTTCGCTGTATATATATTGGCTACATCTTTTTCTGTAAATATTTTTATTGCACCATTTTGACCTTTTTAGTAATAAATCTTATTTTCTGAAAAGTGTTGAACTGTTTCTAAAGCTCTTTAATGCAAACTAAGAATCCCTGTCTCTGAAGAGCGCTACTGTGTGTTTTAAAAACCTCTATATACATCTGCCTGCGGTGACAGTGTGTATACAGACGATTATTCAAACATCATAGTGTTACTGCTAATATTGCGAGTTTCCTCCTTCCCCATTCAAAAGGGGGTGGTGGCAGTGTGAAGGGTTAATTGTGTAATTTACCTGATCCAGTAATGATTGCTCTCAGGCTGCGGTACATAAGATTGTGGTCCAGTGCGCTTGAAAATCTTTGACACGTGAGAGCGTGGTTTTAGATTGGCTAGTCCTTCGGTCACTAGTTGGTGAGAAGGGCTAGGGTCTGACGCCACGACCGTCACAGGAATCAGTTCTTCCTCCTCTTCCTCCTCCTTCCTCTTCCTCCTCCTCTTTCTCTTTTTTTTTTTTTTTTTTTTTTGTATTCAACCGGCTAGTTGAACAAAAAAAAAACTATTTATGTATGGCCAGTTTAACTTGTTTGTTTGCTGGGTTCCTACAAAAGACCTAACTCTTAATACACTTGTGTTTTTTTTATCTTCCATGTAGGCAGCTCTAAACATGCTCTCAAGATGCCAATCAGTGGGGTACAAGCAAGATGGTATCATCTCAATTGCTATACACCCAGGATGGGTGAAGACAGACATGGGAGGTGATCAGGTAGGTTATATAGAGAACCTCTATGAAGAGATGTAGGTAGGCCACTAATGCTGACCTCAACCTGCCTGGATGTTACTGGGTTCAATACATTGAGTCACTGAACTGCAACATCTATGTAGTCCATGACATCAGAACCCCAAAGTTGTATGCTTGTTTTAGATCAGTGTCCCAGTAAATACTGACGTTATTTAATCTGCGTGAAAAACCACATGATCAGAAAGACAGGTCAGCAAAGGCAACCAACATCTTTCTGTTAGTACAGGCATCTCATTTGTACTGTTGATCAATTCCAGCAGTCTGATCAATGACCTCCTTGTAAAATGACTTTTGAGATGAACACAGATAGGATGCATACTTGTAATAAATACTAAAAGATTCAATGCTTAGGCATATATGTGATTTCTTTTGTATTTCAATTGTTTTTATTGAAGAAGAATTTTATATTTTTGGGGTCCCCCCTCCATTCATAAGCAACAATGTCAACATTTAAACCATAGTCATAACATCGTGATTGGTCTCAGTGCAATAAGGAGTACATGGGTAAACAGATAATTTTTTTAAAGGCAATGCCTAATCTCTGGCCAAAAGCAGAGCACATCATTTATATGCAGTCAGAAACATCAAAGAGGGCTAAGGCAGTGGTGGGGTTTGGAGAAGGGAGGGGAATCCGGGAAGGAAGGGGTTGGATACATAGGATAAGGGGGGAAAAAACACTGGTCATTATTTAAACTTACAAACCAAATCATAATCATCTAATGCATTAAACACCTCATACAACCAACTTAGACCTGGATAATCACATATTGAAGAAAAAGAGGGAAAAGGAAAATAGGGATAGAAGGAAAAGGGGTCAAGTCTGGGCTCATCAAGGGACAGAAATATACGAATCCATGGATTTCATAAGGTATCAAACTTTTTAGTATTATTACAAAGAATACAGTCGAGTCTGTCTGCGAAGGTAACATCTTGCCAATCAGCTAAATCAAAAGTGGCATTCGGGTCCCGTTTCCATTGAGTCACATAAGGGGCTTACTATTCGGGTCAGTGAGGAGCAGGGGCGGACAGACAACTCATGGGGACCCCCGAGGAATAAGAGATAATGGGGCCCCCTGTGTCTCTGCCTACACTCAAGCCAAAGCCACACCCCACTTACACATACCCCACACCATTAAAAATGGTGTGGGGTCCCCCCTAAGATCCATACCAGAACCTTATCCAAGCATGCAGCCAGGCAGGTAAGGTAAGGGGGGGACAAGCGAGTGCCCACCCCCCCCCGAACCATACCAGGCCACATGCCATCAACATGGGGTGGTGCTTTTTGGGAGTACCCCCCCCCCCCCCCCAAAGCCTTGTCCCCATGTTGATGGGGACAAGGACCCTTCCTTGCAACCCTGGTCTGTGGTTGTGGGGGTCTGCGGGAAGGGTCCGTAAAAGGAATCTGGGAACCCCCTTTAGCAAGGGGGTCCCTAGATCCCGCTCCCCCCCCCCCCATGTGAATGAATATGGGGTACATGGTATCGCTACCCACTCACAAAAACAAAAGTGTAGTGTGAAAAAACCAGGAGACCGTCTTTGACAAGTCCTTTATTAAAAGAAGAAAAATAAAAATGTCCCCCGAAGTAGATCCAACATCAATCGCGATGCCCACTACCGCCGCTACCCGAAAAAAGAAGGAAAAAAAAAAAAGGCTCTGTCCCAATGCTGGCTCCTGGCGTCTGACTGCTTCACTGGCTTGACAGTTCTTAAATATGTAAGGGGCGGGGCCACCAGTGGCATCATGCATGTGGCCCCACCTGCTTGTGACATCACATCATTGACCCAGCATTCCCCGGTTGATGACGCCACAAGGGGAAGGGTCACACTCGTGATGTCCCAGGGTGGCCCCGCCCCTTACACCCTTACATATTTAAGAACTATCAAGCCAGCGGAGCAGTCAGTGATTGACGTTGGATCTATTTCAGGGGAACATTCTTTATTTTATTTTTTTTTCTTCTTTTAATAAAGGACTTGTCAAAGACTGTCTCCTGTCTTTTTGCGCACTAATATTTTTTTTTTTTTTTTTTTGTGAATGAGTAGCGGTACCATGTACTCCATACTCTTTCACATGGGGTTGGTGGGATCTGGGGGCCACCCCTTTCCTGACCTGCCGGGCTGCATGCTCAGATAAGGGTCTGGTATGGATTTTGGGGGACCCCCATACCATTTTTCCAAAAATGTTGGCGTGGGGGTTCCCCTCAAAATCCATACCAGACCCAAAGGGCTTGGTATAGATGGAGGGGGAAGCCCATGCCGTTTAAATAATTTTTTTTAATTGCCGGCAATTTTTTCTTTTACATTCAGCTATCAGTGGGGAATCCCGCTGACAGCTGAAACATTACCGCATGGTTTTCACTACTAAAATACCGCATGACCTGATAAAATAAATGCAGTATTTTAGTAGCCTTTTTTTGTGTATGAAAACGTTGTTTTTTTGTTTTTTTTTAAATGCCATACTCGGATGCGGTAAGATACAGCTTAGTGAATTGTGCCCAGTGAGCCTCTCACCAGGCCCGCTACTGACCCCAGACAATGCCCGAATGGTCAGTCCACCCCTGGTGAGGAGAGAATATAGGGTGGAGACCCAGCCCCTCAAGTGACCTCTTGTTTGGCATTAAAGCTCAAAAGCTGTAAGTGTAAATGTCCCATCCAGTGACTTAAGCTTAGAGGGAATAAAAAAGATAATCTGATTGTACCTAAAAATCTCGTTAGGAGGCATATGTAATGTTTCTCCACCTCCCGCCCGCCATATACTGCAATGATGGGCGCAAGGTGGTTCTCTCATTCTGGGAGGACGTCAGGTGACGTCCTCCCATTCTAACCGCGCATGCGTGGCTCCGGGAGCACGCAGCGCGGCAACCGGTGGTGCACTGTGTCCCTCGGACACAGCAGATTACCGATCAATGGAAAGAGCCGAAGATGTCGGCTCAGCCATGTGATCAGCTGTGTCCAATCACAGCTGATCACATGTAAATAGGGAAATGCCGGTTATCGGCTTTTCTCTCCTCTTGAGCCGTCACGCTGACCGCTCGAGAGGAGAGCAGAGCCGGTAATCGACATCCCTCAGAGGGGACATGTGCACTGATGATCAATGTGCCCTGATGATCAGTGTAGCCCCAATAGTGCCACCTGCCAGTGCCACATCAATGCCACATATCAGTGCCTACCAGTGCATATCAATGCCACATATCAGTGCCCATCTAAACTGCCTTTCAGTGCCACCTATCAGTGCCAGTCAGTGCCGCCTATCAGTGTGCATCAGTGCTGCCTAACAGTGCCAGTCAGTGCCGCATATCAGTGCCCGTCAGTGCCGCATATCAGTGCTGCCTATCAGTGCCCATCAGTGCTGCCTATCAGTGCCGCCTAACAGTGCCAGTCAGTGCCGCCTATCAGTGTGCATCAGTGCCGCCTATCAGTAACCGTCAGTGCCGCCTATCAGTGCCATATATGAGTGCTGCCTTTCAGTGCCCATCAGTGATGCCTGTCAATGCCCATCAGTGCCACCTACCAGTGCCTCCTCATCAGTGCCTATCAGTGCCACCTATCAGTGTCCATCAGTGCCTCCTCATCAGTGCCCATCACTACAGCCTGATTAGTGCACATCAGTGAAGGAGAAAAATCACTTATTTACAAAACGTTATAACAAAAACTAAGAAAAAACTTTTTTTTTTTCAAAATTTTCAGTAGTTTTTGGTTTGTTTAAGAAAAAATAAAAAAACCCCAGAGGTGATTAAATACCACCAAAATAAATCTCTATCTGTCACAAAAAATGATAAAAATTTTATATGGGTACAGTGTTGCATGACCGCACAATTGTCATTCAAAGTGTGACAGCGCTGAAAGCTGGAAATTGGCCTGGGCAGGAAGGGGGTATAAGTGCACAGTAGGCAAGTGGTTAAAATGCTGTAGAGAACAAATGTGATCCCCATTAAGGTAGTCTCCTATTCTTAACAACCCTTTATTAATCCACCATTGAAATGATGCGGGTACCAAGCCAGGTACACATTCTGGGTTATAAAAAACCGGAACCAGGGGTGTATGTGGGGAAGACAAAGGTTTACGGTGACACACTCTGTCCCAGACAGCTAAAGAATATGGTAAGGTAGGACACAATATAGGAGGGTGTACCCAGTTAGGAATCCATAATAAGGAACCAATGGCAACAGGGTGACAGGAAAGAGCTTCAATAGAAATTCAGAGGGGTGCAGGCCCTTTACCAGTGGTGGAGGCCAATCAAGCAATTTGTGCAGCCTGGAAATAGGCATGAAGGTTGGGGAATTTGATTTTTCTTTTTTTTAATGTTTTAATCCAGGCACCACTCACAAAAGAAGACAGCGTTGGTGCCATGATGAAAATCATCTATTCCCTGAGTGAGGAAAAAAGTGGCACTTTTGTGGACTGGGAAGGAAAATCTATTCCATGGTGATCCCAGTAAACAAGAAGTCAAGGACTGCATCATACGAGCTGTAATATGTTTTTGACACTAAAGTTATTTGTACAAGCGGTTTTGTTCATTGCAGGTACTGTGTGATAGGATAACTACACATGTGAAGAAAGGATTGTAAATCCTTAGAAAATGTCTAGATTTCTGTACAAATAACTCTGATAATGTGGCATATCTTCAAAATATTAAAAACAACTTTACTCAGCAAACTTACTTGGCACTGGCATGTGTATTAAACATTGTATTGAGTGCAGCTATCATTTTTGTTTTTTTTTGTTTATTTTGTCTTTAGCACTGAGCACAGTTTTATATTTATACTGATGATATATTAAAGCTGACCTATATACGGTATATTTTTTTTTGAGGGGGGGGGGGGGGGGCGGTTTGTTTCTAAATGGATTTAAAGCTGTTTGTGTTGGGGGACAGAAGTGCCCGTTTTTTTCAGGCGGACCCAATCAGACCATCTATTGTCCTCTATGGAGGGGGGGTGGATGTAAACGTACACGAACCTTTAAAACCACGTTCCCCATCTGTCTAGCGCAGGTTAGGCAACCTCTGGCTCTCTAGCTGTTGTGGAACTACATTTCCCATGAGGCATTGCAAAGATTGCAAAACTGAGTTACAGCTATAACTTGCAGAGGCATGATGGAACTTGTAGTCCTGCGGCTCTCAGGTTGTCTACCCCTGGTCTAGCGGATCGGATAAGATGACAGTTGGATGCAAATGGACAGGCGGTGCGTTTACATCTAACCGCCCATAGAGAACAGCAGGCTGTGTCCGTGTCTGCTTTGCATAAGTGGAGTAGACACGGGCCTGTCATCCGTCTGTTCAGGGGGGATCAGTAGGCAAATCCCCCACTGAGCAGGCAGATCTGCTGGCGCAGTCAGCCCGTGTGAAGGGGGCCTATAGGTCTGCTTTAAACATAATGGAGGATGCTATGTAAAGCTGGCCACACACTCTGGTTTTTCAAAACTCTAGGTTTTTCACCTGCTATGTAGTATGAGGGCTTACCTTAGTAGAGATTTTTTTTTTTCAGAAGAAAAGAAGCGCCTCCTAAGTGCAGTATAAACCACTATTTAATAGGAGTCAAAAGTAGAACCACTCACATTTCTTTGTAAAACAAACCCAGGCCCATAGGGTGCAGTCTCATAGGGGTGGAGGAACGGCTGTGTCCTGGCTATGACAGCCGCGTCTGCGCTCAGGAATTGTGGTAACAGGAGAAGAAAAGCCAGCCAAAATGTGGAGTCTCCTAAAGATGGAGCCTGGAACGCACGTTGAGGCGCAACGCCGGCGTGATGACGTCAAGGACCAGCATGCATAGTGACGCGTTTCAGAGCATGCGCTAACCTCACATTCCTTTGTCAAGTGAGTTGTTCTACATTTGACTCCAATTAAATAATGGTTTATACTGCATTTAGAGGTGCTTCTTTTCTTCTTCATTCATACAGAGTTCTGCTACTACTTCTAGTATAGGAAGCTTGCCCTAGTGCCCCGTGGACCTTTTTGCAGCCCTATTTACTGGACTTTATGGACAATTCTTTAACTAATTTGAATGGTGGCAGTTTTTTTGATTTTTTTTTTCTTGCTTGTCTGGAGATATTTTTTTCATACCAGGCTTTCTATATTCGAAAGGAAGCAAGACATATGATCCAAAATCTCCAGCAGACACCTACCAAGATTAAAATAAACAGAGAAAGGTGCACACTGAATACTAGTCTACACAATGTAACACGAGACTGACATAAATAGATAAATGGTGGACTGGCATAGGGAGAACAAAATTAGATCAAAGAAATAATAAAAAAAACACTGCAGCTCTAAAAGTATCGTACAGGAATTGCTGCATAATTCATAGACCACTTATGTGCCTCAAGATATGAATGCCATGGTAATAGAATAAGATAAAACCTTTATATAGCAGAAGATAGTCCATCCAATGTGACTGCCTTTATCTGGATTAGAAGCTTGTTCCAGGGTAGAGCATGTAGAAAGAAATAGAAAGGCGTCTCTAAGTGTAGACTTAAAATAACACATTTATTGCACAAATATACAGACAACTTACAGGACAGTAGTAATGAATAGGCACATCATTGTCAGTCAAGAGGTTAACTGCCACGGTGAGGTGGTCAGCATTCCAGGTTAGCCAGCAAGAAGGAGGAGAGCTGGAAACGAGGGCTGGAGTGTAGCATGTCCGCGATGACGTCAGTGGGCATCGTGATTGTGACACGGTTAAAAGCGCCTCAAGTGTAGACTTAAAATACCAAATTTATTGCACACAAATACAGACAACTTACAGGACAGTAGTAATGAATAGGCACATGATAGTTCATCAAGGGGGTGACTGCCAGGTTGAGGTGGTCCTCCCACAGCTGCTGTTAGTTGCAGACTCTCTGTAGTGTTCCAGGTTAGTCAGCAAGATGGAAGAGACCTGGAAGCTAGTGCTGGAGCATATGTGGAGCGCAGCGTGTGCGCGATGACGTTACTGGGCGTCATGATTGCGACACATTTCCTGAGCATGTGCATGCTGAGTGTGCATGCTCAGGAACAGTGTCCCAATCACGATGCCCACTGATGTCATCGTGCACATGCTGCGCTCCAGCCCTCGCTTCCAGGTCTCCTCCTTCTTTCCGGCTAACCTGGAATGCTGACCACCTCACCATGGCGGTTAACCTCTTGACTGACAAAGATGTGCCTATTCATTACTACTTTCCTGTAAGTTGCTTGTATTTCTGTGCAATAAATTTGTTATTTGAAGTCGACACTTAGAGGTGCCTTTGCCTTTTTATCTACCAATATTACCAAGCAGAAGAAAATTGCATCCCTTTTAATTCAATGGAGCTCCTCACACTGGTCAGCTGCGTTTGTAAAAGTCCTACTTGCTGCATTTTTGGCAGATGTTTGGTGCATGTTTAACTAGTCCTTTCACACTGATCAGTTTTTGATGTGCTTTTGTTCAGGTGTGAAGAGTTCCATTGAAAAAGAGATGCATATTTCTTCTTTTTTTTTTTTTAAGTGAACAAAAAAACTGATCGGTATGAAAGTAGCCATTACAGAAGAGACTCTGTATGATTTTTTCATAAATGCTTCTCTTTGGCCTGTCAGTTTTTTTTAATTGTATAATGAGCTGCACATGTGCAGTTGAGCATGCAATCTTGAAATGACTTTGGTAGAGATGCAGTAACTCCTCTGCGCATGCATGGGGCATTAAGTCCACCTTTTAGGACCATGTTGCATTACACCCATAATTAGAGATCTGTGAATGAACGATCTACATCCCATGCCTGATGAAGGGGTATGATATGACTCCTTCTGTGACGTGACCACTGGAATAAACATTTGGACAACTTAAGATCTGTGGTGTGCTGGCAATATTCTGTAAACTCATGAAGGAGCTACAAGTCCCCTCTGCTACTGTGGAAGTTCTCAATGGAATACAAGTGTGGTTGCTCCAGATCTCCAAGAGAAAGCCCATACCTTGGTTTAGACAGAGCTGAAGGAGCCTGGCACTGCACCCGGCTCAACCACTTAGCACGGTTGCAATGCTTTGCAGGCTCACTTGCAAAAAATTAAAATGCAGCTTTTTGTGCAAAAATATGCGCATCTGTTATTTTTTCAAAAGGCAGATGTTTGTTCAATCATCAAGGCCCAGCGAATCAAGAAAACTGTAAACGTGGAGGAAGATGAGGAGAAAATACAGAAGCATGGCTAATAGAGGGGAGCACTGATCATATTACTTCAGCTTCAGGCCCCCCTGGAGGCAGCTCTAGTTCCACTACTTACAGTGGATATAAAAAGTCTACACACCCCGGTAAAACCAAAGTACCAGTATGTTGATGGCTCACAAGTGGTTAAAGTTACACCTGAGGACTTAAAACCCCCTCCTTGTCTATGAATGTAAACACATGCTTTGGGGACACCTACATATGAACACAAGGATTGGATTGCATTACATATACAGTAGATATAAAAACTCTACACACCCGTTAAAATGTCAGGTTTCTGTGATGTAAAAAAATGAGACAAAGATAAATAATTTCAGAACTTTTTCCACCTTTTAATGTAACCTATAAACTGTACAACTCAGTTGAACAACAAACTGAAATCTTTCGGGTGGAGGGAAGGAAAAATAAACTAAAATAATATGGTTGCATAAGTGTGCACACCCTTAAACTAATACTATGTTGGAGCACCTTTTGATTTTATTCCAGCACTCAGTCCTTTTGGGTATGAGTATCAGCATGGCACATCTTGACTTGGCAGTATTTGCCCACTCTTCCTTGCAAAAACACTCCATATCTGTCAGATTGCAAGGACATCTCCTGTGCACAGCCCTCTTCAGATCACCCCACAGATTTTCAACTGGATTCAGGTTTGGACTCTGGCTGGGCCATTCCAAAACTTTAATCTTCTTCTGGTGAAGCCATTCCTTTGTTGATTTGGATGTATGCTTTGTGTCGTTGTCATGCTGAAAGATGAAGTTCCTCTTCATGTTCAGCTTTCTAGCAGAAGTCTGAAGGTTTTATGCCAATATTGACTGATATTTGTAACTGTTCATAATTCCCTCTACCTTGACTAAGGCCCCAGGTCCATCTTTAGAACAGCCCCAAAGCATGACGCTGCCACCACCATGCTTCACTGTGGGTATGGTGTTCTTTTGGTGATGTGCAGTGTTGTTTTTGCACCAAACATATCTTTTGGAATTATGGCCAAAAATTTCAACCTTGGTTTCATCAGGCCAGAACACATTTTCCCACATGCTTTTGAGAGACTTCAGATGTGTTTTTTGCAAAATTTAGCCAGGCTTGGATGGTTTTTCTTCGTAAGAAAAGTCTTCTGTCTTCCCACTCTACCCCATAAAGAAGAATACGGGAGATTGTTGTTCCATGTACCACACAGCCAGAACTTGCCAGATACTCCTGCAGCTCCTTTAATGTTTTCTTCTCATTTTTTCATCAATTTTGGAGGGATGTCCAGCTCTTGGT